AATTTAATTTAGTTCATTTTCATCAGTTTTTTTACTTGAATTCTACTTTTTAAAATTAATTTGAGTATGATGATGATATTCCCACAGTCTCCTTCCCTCCTTTTCGGGGTTGTACCTCATCCAGTCATCTAGTCGAGTCTGTCCTAGAACACCTACACAAAGGAGCTATCAAATGGGTGGTCCCCACTCAGCTGAAATTTTACTCCTGTCTTTTTGTTGCCCCCCAAGAAGGTGGGAGACTGGAGACCCACCATCGATCTGTCCCAGCTGAATACCTATCTGGACACACCTCAAGTCACCATGGAGTCCTACCTTTCTCTTTAGTGGTTTTTTTTCCCTAGGACTTTGGATGAAGAAGTCTGATGTGACAGATGCCTATTTCCATGTTCCAATTGCTCCTGTGTCACATCGTTTTCTTCGGTTCATTCACAAGGGTTATCTTCCAGTTTTGGCCACTGTTGTTCAGCTTTCTTTAGCTCCATATGTGTTTTGTCATGTGGATCACTCTTTTGCTCATCATCTTCACTTGCTGGGTCTTCGGACTCTAGATCTCCTGTACTGGGCCCATTACCACAACATGATGATCCTGGTGCATCAGGTTCCTGGAATTATGAATCTGGTGGCCAATTGTTTGTCTCAACCCCACCAGGTTCTCCTGATGGAGTGGTTCCTTCATACTCAAGTGTGTCAGTGGGTGTGTTCTCAGCTGGAAACACTACATATTGATGCATTTGCCACAATATTGGAATGCCAAACTACCTTCCTTTTGGTTTCCAGTTCCACACCCCTTGGTTTTGGGGGTGGATGCATTCAGTCAAAATTGGAAAGGTCTTCACCTTTTTGCCTTCTCTCCAGTCAGAATACTTTCTTGGGTTGTTTCCATTATCCAGACCTCTCCTTGTCGGGTTCTGCTAGTTGCTCTGTACTGGCCAGCTCAGCCATGGTTCCCTCTGCTCTGGCTCTTACTGGAGCGACAGCCCCTGCCCTTACCTCTGTACTGGTTGCTCCACTGACAACCGTAATCAGATGTGGTTCATCTCAACATCACCAGACTCCATCTTCATGCATGGCTTTTGTCCAGTCCCTTGTCTCACCTTAGGGACTCACCCCTAGTGTAGCCTTTTTCCTTGCCCATACCATTCAATCTTCCTACTTGTCTGTGTACCAGAGACATTAGTCTACCTTCAGGTTTTGGTCTATTCGCTGTAGATTCCACTCTTCCTGTCCTTCTGTTTCTCACATATCCCAATTCTTCACCTGGTTGTTTGATCAGGGTTTGTCCGTATCAACTGTGGATAGTTATAGGGCTGCCCTGCTGAACACCTTCCATTACTGAAGAGCCTTTTCCTCCCCAATTCTTTCCCTACTTTTCCATCCCTTTCATCTGATCCACCTGCCTTGTCATTTTGTTCTACCAGATTGGGATCTCAATATTGTCCTTCATGCCCTATCCAGTTCTCCTTTTGAACCCAATGCGACATTTTCCTTGTACCATCTTTCTCTTACAACTTATTTCATCCTTCTTCTGGCTTGCGGTCATCATCATTCTGATACTTATGCCATTAATTTTTCCCACATCCTGTACTATTCCTCTTACGTTATCCTCTATCAAGATTGGGCCTTTCTTCCCAAAACATCAGCCACCTTGGAAGATTGTTCAGCTTTTTCTCTGATTTCTTTACCTTCTATTTCCTTTCTATATACTAATGTTTGGATCCTGATCATCTTCTTTGTCCTGTTCATTCCCTGCAATATTATGTGGCTTGTACTGCCTCTTTTCATGGTTCTTGTTCCTGTCTGTTTGTTCCCTGGAATACTGTTATTCCCCATATTCTGTATTCCATTACCCTCACTAGGTGGGTTCATCAACTCATTTGGTTGGCTTATGCAGATGTCTTTAGCTGTTTAAACCTGCAAACCTTTGGAGGAGATCATTCAAGTGGGTATGTGGACAACTCCCAATACATTCACTTCCCATTATCTGCACAACCTAGCTGTGTCTTCTTCGGTTAGGTATTGTTTCCTCCTGTGGTGATTCTTCATACATCTATTCACCTTTGACTGGGGTAAGTCGACATATTTTTTTTTATTCCTTATTTTCTTTAGTTGATGTACATTATCTTTCAGAATCCCACCTAGTGATAAGTGTTGCCTTGTCAGGTATGCTTATTTTTTTATGTGCACTAACTCTGTATCATTCTCTAATGCTCACCACTGAGATGGGATGTTTCTGTTTCTTTAGTTGATGTACATCATCTTTCAGGATCCCACCTAGTGGCAAGTGTTGCCTTGTCAGGTATGCTTATTGTTTTGTGTACACTAACTCTGTATCATACTCTACTGCCCACCATTGAGATGGGATGTTTCTGTAAGACCACTGGACACTTTTCCAGTGGTATATTTATTTTTTATTTTCCTACTGTCTCTTATACATATGACCGTCACTTATGGACTTCATGAGCAAAGAAGATAGGGATTTTTACCCATCCCTATTGACCAGTGATTCCTACAATTGGAGTCTTTCTGCTTTTCATATTAGAGAATCACAGACACCCAATGTGTTGTTCCTCCAGGTTCCCCAACGTGTATTCCCCACTTCCTTCTCTTCTAGTGGAGCACAGTAGTCCTTGCCACTTCTGGTTTCCAGTTGCTGGAGTGGTGGACCAAAGAGTTTTCCTCTTGAGTGGGTTTTGTACAATAAACAAGAATCAAATTTATATATCATATGTACACATTCAATGAGAAGAGGGCTATCGTCTTTATAATCATTACGATACCAAACAATGATTATACTATAACATAATAATAAAGATCCAAGGCATTTCCCCCCAGATATTTTTGCCTGAGCTGACTGCAGTTGTTGATTATATAATTCTTATGCAAGGCACTTCCACTGGATGTTTTCTGCCTGGATGGACTGCACTTGGCATAACCTGAAATATACAAAGGTGCTTTCCCTGGATGTTTTTGTCTGAGTGGACAACACTTGTTGATCTCGCATACTTATGCAAGGTATTTCCACTGAATGTTTTTGCCCGGATTGGCTGCACTTGGCCTATTCATATACACTTCATGGTCCTTTAGCCCAAGCCATGCTGGCACCTTCATATATTTTAATATCACTATGTTCGGTACTACGGCTTGCTACGTAAGTGGCATAAGTATGACACGTCAGTTGACAATGGACTGGTTATGACAGTCCTCCCGATCACACTTATATCCCCCCCATAACACTTCTATATATCCAAGGTGCTTCCCCTGGATGTTTATGCCTGGGTGGACCGCATGCACTTCTTGATCACAATATCTTATACAAGGCATTTCCTCTGGATGTTTTGCCTGGATGGACTACACTTGTTGCTCACAATATCTTATACAATGCATTTGCAATGGATGTTTTGCCTGGATGGACTGCACATGTCATACTCCAATGTAACCCAAGGACTGCCCTTGGCACTTACTTATACAAACTGTATATCACTTCCACACTAGATTTTTCAAGTTTGTATACATAATGATGCTTTAGGTCATGTTCTCCAGCACTTCTATACTGATTTGGTGTTGTACATCTCCTTCCTGAATGCAAATAGGTGCCAGCCTATTCCATTCTGCCCTATTTGTGTTCTTTACTGGGCAATGAGGCATACCTGTTCCAGAAGTAGTGCTATACCCCACAGGAGTGCCTTCTATTCATACTCTTGCACACCTGTTCTTTCAGTGCAGTCATTTTCTGCTTGATTTTTTGTTGTGCCTCCATTGGGCTCCCTCCACCTTTTTGCAATGTGGGATTCTAGCTGTGGAGTGAGAGGAGGTAAGACCGTTTCAGAAGTTAACATTTTCTTATACTGAAAATGTATTTCCGATAAGTACTTACCTCCTCCCACCCTTCCTTCCCACTGATTTGCTGGTGTTTCTGGTTTGTACATACCAATTCTTGAAAGTGAGGAATGTGTTAGAATAGCAGAGGGATTTAGCTGTGCTACCATAGATGGTGCAGTAGGATTAGTGGAAAATAGTCACATGATCAGCACATTCTGAAAGGGCACGAAACTGATGGGGTATAAAAGACTGGTGTGCTAGGGGGAAAAATATTAAGCAATGCTTAGAGGGAAAATCAAGATCAAGACTGCTTTGAGGTGACAGGTGGTAAGTACCTATCAGAAATATATTTTCAATATAAGAAAATGTTAATGTTTAGAATATTTTGTAAAGTCCCTAGCAAAAGTACGTTACCACGATTAGCCTAATGCCTATGGCGCCTGCTTGTTACCAACTCACCAAACACATATTACTAATTCAACATGTCAGTCATGGGCAAATATTGGCAACAAGTTTCCACAGATTATTCATTAAAACATTTATCTCTTAACGGCACTATTTTAAGTTCTTTCTTAATCGAAATCTTACGAATATTATGCCATTTTCTGAATTCTAGTTCCTCTGAGGATGTTATTCTCTGGATAAAGGAAAAAATGTACACTTAATGTACTTAGATTTTCAAAAAGCTCTTGCTAAAGTGCCACAAAAATCATTACCTAAGAAAATCACAACAGTTAGTGTTGGGGAAATAATTAGTTGGACTGTAGGGTGGTTGGATGGGAGAAAGCAAAATATTTTTATTAGTTGAGTTCAGTCAAACCAGACCTTTGTTATTAGTGGAGTATATTAGGGGTCAGAGGCTAGGCCTTTGCTTTTTCTTATTTATATCAATGATATTGATAGGAGCATTAGTAAAAGTTGCTAGTGAGATTAAACTCTTGGGTATATATAACTGTATTGAAGATATTGGGGTATTAGAGATGACTTAGATAAACTGGTAATTTAGACAAATATTTTGCAAATTACCTTAAATTATTGTAAGTGCAAGGTGATACATTTAAGTTATAATTTGGATCACATACTTAATATAGATGGTAACACACTCAACAGCATTACAGAAAAAAATGATCATAGCATAATGGTGTAAAGTCACTTATGCCATTGAAGCAGTATTCTGTTGTTAGTAGTAAAAATAATAAAAAATTTTGATCTCCTTATCTAAAAGGATACTGACTTATTGAACAAGATTCAGATGAGATTTACTAGGATGATTCCAGAGATGGAAGCAGAGACGTATATTCACCAAAGGCAAAAAGACATGCTCCTACACAAAATTTTGAATAAAAAATAAACAAATAAAATAAACTAAAATAGTTAAAAGATATTTATATACCTTAATTAACTTATGGTCATATTCATCCTGGGAGTGAACTTACACATAATTTGTTTGAGATATACGTCCCTGGGAAGGGTTATCTTGCAGGGATAGGTTGTTTTTTTCTTACTTATTTTCTATTGAGAAAAGAAGGGTTAGAGGTAATCTTTTTGAAGTTTACAAGATTATACACTGGATCAATTAGATAAATGACTGCCTTATTTGTGTTATGCTCTGAAGATAATAGAATGATGGGACACAAGCTTCAGATTTGGAGAATGACAGGCAAGGATCCAGTTAAGACAGCTTTATTTTTCTAACAGGGTGACTGACTTATGGGATGAGTTGCTATCAGAAGTAGTGTAGGCCAGAACTTTACAGTTTAAGATGGCAATTGATGATTTCCTGAAAAATAAAGAGTGGGTTTAAATTTTTTACTTTTCTCAAGGGTGGGTTTCCAAGGGTAGCACTGAATGACCAAAATGGTCCCTTCTTGTCTGTAGGTTATGTTAATGTCATGTAGCAACAATAACCTTATCCTATCATACCTATCTTTACAAATAATGGAAAAGCAGTTAACCCACAAGTCATCACATTACATTGTTCAAATATTTTCAATTACCAATTCAGCAATTCATCTGTGCACACCTTCCAGCATATGGAAATCCTTCCTGTAATAGGACCTCAAATGAACACAGATAATTTTAGAAACCAATTTAACCTAAAAGTTAACATTTTCCTATACCGAAAATGTATTTCCGATAATACTTACTTCAACTCACACTATAGCTTTATCCTGACTAAAATTACTCTTCTCTGTCCATCTAAGCATTGGTATGAATCTTACCTCACTTGCTCCAGCCTTTATATTCCACTAAACTGCCCATAGCAAGTTATATCTTGTGATTCTCTCCACCAATGTCAATGCACCCCCTATCCCAGATATATATATAAGTTCCCCCATTATTATTTCCTATTCACTTTTTGAGACTGCCCCAATTTGCAGACTCAAACACTAACCATTGTGGGGAGGTAAGTATTATCGGAAATACATTTTTGATATAGGAAAATGTTAACTTCCAAAAAACACGTACCTCCGCTCACACAATAGCTAGAATCCCACATTGACAAGATACAGGGGCTGGTGAGGGCAAGATCCATACAGAAAACATCTGCAAAGAAAAAGAGGTGTGCAAAAATGAGATACAGTAATAGCACACTAGTGGGGTCTGTAGGTATGCTCTTCACTCAAACAACGTGAAATCTAATTCCTTGGTGGTAAAGGGCGACTAGCCACAGAGGCAAAACCCTAACATCTTGAGAAGAACACATGAATATACGGACAATTATACCAGAACTGGCCTGATACTGCAATACCAAATGCATCTGGTCACAGTCAGTTATCTAGCCGATGTACAGATCCCCCACACTTGATGAAATATAGTACCTAACACGCAGGATTTGTCCAGGCTCCAACCAGGCAGACAAGGTCTCACTTCTCATCCATTGGAATTGTAGGGCTGTGGACCCAAATCTGGATGCAATGTGTAGTGGCTAGGGCAGGAGGACTGCAATGTGGTTTATTACTTATTTATTATTTGAACCCAACAAGAAAGTTACAGAATGTTACATATCGAGCTATAGGAATTACAAAGAGAAAGCAAGCAACACAAAAGTGGACAAACTCTCGCCCCAACTTGAAGAAGTGCAAAATGCAACAAACTGAACTCGGAATTATGGTACATTTCTTGTCTCACTCAACCTGAAGAAACTGAGATACCCAGCCTGAGAGGCAAGGCAACATCTCCTACCTCCCTGAATTATGAGGAGGATGTGGAACAAACTAAGTTCAACCAATAGCACAGGAATTGATGCTCTACATGCATAATTATGAGGAGTCAAGGACCCTCTCCCATGGTTATCAAAATGAAGATAATGACCACAAAGAGGTGCCATATTCAGCTCAACTTGATAGTTAAGTGTCACCTCTGAACTGAAACTATGAGGAGGCTCCTGCATAGGCTGGTTCTGCTCCCACCATACATCTGGGAAACCATTCAGGGTTATTTATAGGAGGGCACCCAGCTTCCCCCTCTTCTCCTTGAGTGGAATAATGAGTTCAAGCATCACTCATGAGGAATAGATCTTTGTTCACCACATCAGCAACTGGAAACTGGGAGTGGTAAAGACTCCCATGCTCCACTAGGAGAAATGGGAGGATAATTTCCATTAGGGAGTAATGAGGAACAGTGCTCCAGAGACAGTGCAGTAGATGAACCAAGTTCCTTATTTTAAAGAGCAAACCGATCCCCAATTTATTCAATCCAATGATCAGCAGGGACGGCCAAAATCCCCTTAAGTTTTACTCATGATAGTCCATGAGGGGTGGTTCAGTAGTATATTTGTCTTTGTGTTATAATTGTTTACCACCCAAAAAAGCCACAAGGTGGTCTTATGGAACACCCTATTTCAACAGAGCTTGTTGCTACCAGGAAAGTTTTTACTGATCGACTAGTACCTAGTGCAGATTTGTAAAGAAGCATACCTGACCAGGCAACACCTGCCAGAGAGTGGGATACAAATAAAAATGACGAGAGGGTCCTTGAAAAAGAATAGAAAAAAATCACAAAAGAAATGAAGTCACTATGGAATTCATATCCGAAAATGTCTCAGAAATACTTTTAAAAAAAATATAAAACAAACTCAAGAGATCTGAACAAAAAAAAATTGTCAAAGTGTAGGTATAATAAAAGCTATGGAATACTAAAGAGCAACTTGCAGCAAGCACGTAAAACCATCGTCATAATGGTCTACCATCAAGAAAAAGTGAACAGGAAGTAATAACAGGGAGCT